TAATGTCCTGGAGACCTGGGTTCAAATCCGGCCACGGCAGATGGTGGAATTTGAATTCAAAATCAAAAAAAAAGCTTGAATTAAGAATCTACTGATGGCTATGAAGCCTTTGTTAATTGTTGGAAAAACCCATCCAGCTCTCGGATTGCCTTCAGAGAAGAAAACTGCCGTCCTTACCCGGTCTGGCCTACATGTGATTCCAGACCTACAGCAATGTGCCTGACTCTCAAGTGCCCTCTGAAATGGCTGAGCAAGCCCTCCGTTCAAGGGCAGCTAGGGACAGTCAATAAATGCTGGCCTAGCCAGCCATGCCCATATCCCACGAGTGAATTAAAAAGAAGTTAAAAGAAGAGGAAACTGAAAGTGGAAGTGTGCAATTGCTGTTAGTTGTGGAGGAGCCATCTAGTCACACCTCTCCAGAGTGGATTTGAGAAATTTGGAATTCTCTTTGGCGAATGATAACTGATGCTTGAAGGATTGATCGTCTATTTTAAATCTGAGATTGATAGGTTTTTGTTCACCATTAAAAGATATCAGGACAAAGTTGGGTAGATAGAGTTCATTTGCAGGTGAGCTATGACCTTATGAATGATGTGACTGATGTGAGTGCATTAGATTGCTCGTGGTGTTCACAGATAAGAGTAGCCAAGTGGACACAAACCTTCATGTCTGGGGTGGGAGTGATGCTGGTTCAACTCATCTTCTGTAATGTTTGGCCGGTGCTTTAACCTGGAATAAAATAATAAATCATCACTTTCTGTGTTGATTCAATCATTCATTGTTCTGAAGAACAATTTCAATTTGTACTCCTCTCAATTTGCTTTCCTGCAGCAGAAATAAAGTCCTTTCCTTTAGAATTTGAGCCTTTTAGCTTCTTTGCCACCTCCCTTTCTATCAGACACGTCAGAGACTGGAGCAAAGAATCCAGAAGGTAAAAGCAATTCTCTTTCTCTCTTGTTCCTGACGTGTACACTAGCTCAATCTCTTTGATCGTCTGCATCTATTTGAACCATCTCTTAGTTTGTTTGAAACTACACAAAATAAATAAATGAATTCACAAGTTTTTGGCAAGTCTTGGTGAAAGTTATTTTAAAACAGACAGTACATGGACTTAGTCAGCTTTATGGTCAGTTAATGACATGTTAATGGAAGTTTAACAGTCGACAGCACAATATCCTGCAAGAGCTGCGCACAGAAACAATACTTACCAGGGGTAACAGAAGCTGAGGGCCACAGCCCAGAACAGACACAATCCTCCCAGCAGAAACTTCATCGTCACTTGATAGATCTGTGAGGACTGAGTGTTGTGCCCAAGCCTGGGGCTCTATATATATCTGATTCTGCAGCCCCGTTTCAAAATAAACAGATGGCAAGGTCCTCTGGAACAGAGAGACCAGAACAAACAGTCCTTGACTCACCATCTCTTTCGAAAGGTCTTTGATAAAGTTGCACATATCAGATTTGTTCACAAAACCAAGATCCATGAGGTTAAAGGAACAACACCTGAATGGGCACAAAGTTGGCAGAGGGCCAGAGAGTGAGGAGGAAGGGCAGAACACGGTCAGGAGCCCAAAGTCAAGAATATGGGGCCAAGGCACTGAATGAACTGGGTACATGGGCATCACTTCAATGTTAGCAGGTGGCAGGGAAGGTGGAATATATTGAAGAAGGAGGAGGACAGTGGCATGCCGATGAAGAATAAAGCCAGGCTGGTGAAAGGGTGAGATTAGGGCAGATAAAGTATAACCCAGGGAAGAGTGAAGTGATACATATTTGAAAGAAGTGTTCAAAGAGGCAATACAAACTAACATGACCATTCAGCGGTGAGTGCTGGAATGGAGAGATTTCAGGGTCCATGTGCACAAGTGCCAGGACAGATTGAGAAAGTGGTTCATAGCATGAGAGATCCTGGGTCCTGTAAACACAGGCACAGAGTACAAAGGCAAGGAAGTGATGCTGAACCTTTATAAAACAGATTCAGATCCAGCTGGAGGATTATCTCCTGTTCTGATCAGTGTTCTTTATAAAGGATGTCATGAAGTGAATGTGGTGAGACTAGAGAAGCTGGAGTTCTCTTTGGAGCTGAGCAGGTTAAGAGGAGATGTGATTTGAGTATACAGAGTTATGAATGATTTTGATGGAGTAAATAAAGAGAAACTGTTTCCAGTGGAGGGAGGGTCAGAGACAAAGGACACAGATTTAATAATGCTGGTAAAAGAACCCAAGAAATGTTATTTTTCCCACAGTGAGTTGTGATCTGGGAATATGCTCCCTAAAGAGGCAGTGGGAGCAGTTTCAACAGGAACTTTCCAAAAGGGAATTGGAAAAATACTTAAAGTGAAAAATTTTCCAGGCTACAGGAGAGAGGAAAAGTTGGACTGATCTTTCACGTTAGCCAGTACACATTAGTACGGTGGGCTGAATGGCCTGTGCTGTCCGATTCAATAGTTGTATGTTCACACAGATTAGACATTAACCACACAGCATAGCCAACATTGCGGAGGTTACTGTATGAAATCCAGACCAGTGCTTGTCGATTAAACAAGGCTCCTCTTGACCCCCGGCCTTTCTGGATCCTCTCACGGAACACAACCACTTGGATATTTAAAGAGACACCATCTTCATTCTTGGCACAAGAAGAGCCAGGACACTTTGCAAGGTTGTGGCATAGCAAGTAAAAATATACTGAATAGGTGCTGCTTGGCCTGCTGTGTTCATCCAGTTCTACACCTTGTTGTCCCTGAATAGGAGCAAGCCAGTCAGTCACTGAAAATTGTTCTACTATTACAATGGATTGAAGCTTCTCGGTAACTCAGTTGCTGCATTCTCTCATTGTGTCACAGCTTATCACAAAATGCCAGCAACATCACATCAATCCTGCACAAACAAAGCAATGAAGTGTTCGTGATGCAATACTGTGTTTTAATCTCAGCCACCACTATTCCTTACAAATAGAAGCTGTGCCACTTTCAGCCATTGTGTCAAATCTTATTGAAGGATACAAAGAAATTCTTGCATTTGTACATTAACTCCACAATATTTGTAGGTACAGGTACACCCAAGGTCAGCCCCAGACACCATTTTTCATTTTTTTGATTGACTGGTCTGATCTGATTGTGTGTTTCTCTACAGTAGATTGGAGAGTTATGTTGGAAGTGTATCTGGGTTTTCGTTTATTATCGACAGGGAGTCTGTGCTCCTGTACCCCATGGATAGAGTCATACAGCACAGAAACAGACCCTTCGGTCGAACCAGTCCATGCCGACCATAATCCCAAACTAAACCAGACCACCCTGCCTGCGCTTGGTCCATATCCCTCCAAACATTTCCTATTCATGTAGTTATCCAAATGTCTTTTAAATGTTGTAACTGTACTTACATCTAACATTTTCCCTGGAAATTCATTCCTCATACAAACCACTCTGTAAAACAATTGCTCCTCATAGCTTTTTTTAAATCTTTCTCCTGTCACCTTAAATATAAGCCCCCTAGTCCTGAAAACCCCCATAGGTAATGGGGATTTGGTGTATTACACTTTTTAACAACCTCAGACCACTCCAAAACACTTCTGCAAAGCAGAACAGGAGCACCCAAACGGCGTCTTCAAAAGGAATGGATTCACAAAAAGCACAATCTGCCCTTACCTCCGAGACAGACCGCAACATGACCAGACTCATTAATCACCCTACATTACATCAAGGACATTTCAGAGATGAACACCAGACTACTCAGACCCCTAGGTATCAGAATAGTCCACAAACTGACAACCACCCTACGACAGCTACTGACAAATGTAAAGGATCCCATACCCAAAACCAGTGTAACCATTGTAATATGCAAAATACCATGCAAGGACTGTGAGTAACATTATATAGGCCAAACCAGAAGAAAATTGACAATACAGATACACGAACACCAACTAGCCACCAAGAGCCACGACCAATTCTCATTTATCCCACTACACAAGGACAACGACGGACACGAATTAGACTGGGACAACACATCAATAATTGCACAAGCCAGACACAGACATGCCAGGGAATTCCTGGAGGTCTGGTATTCCAACTGGAACTCCATTAACAAACACATTGAATTAGACCCTGTGTACAAACCACTGAGAAACAGAACCGGAAGTGGTACCAACCACCCCAGCAAACCAAGGCACATAAACAACAAGCAGGACAGAACACCAATGCTTCACCGGAGGCGCACTGACATTGTTACCTAGCAGGATGACGAAACATTTGACACCTTCCCAGTCCTGAAGAAGGGTAATACCCGAAACGTTGACTGATCCTTTCCTCCTGATGGTGCCTGGCCTGCTGTGTTCTTCCAGCCTCCTGTTTGTCTACATTGGATTCCAGCACCTGCAGTTTCTTTGTCACAATTTCACTATTGTCAGCTGGAGAGTTAGGAATGAGGTGAGGAGAAACCTCTTTACTCAGAGAGTTGTTAGGGTTTGCAATGCGCTGCCTGGGAGGGTGGTAGCAACAGATTCCACAGGAGATCTCAAAAGAGAGCTGGGTATATATTTGAAAGTGATTAATTTAGATGACTATTGAGATAGGGCTGGAGAATGGGACTAGCTGGGTGACTTTTTTGGGACCCAGTAGATACAACGGGTCAAATGGCCTCCTTCTGAACTGTAAATTTCTTAAACTCACACAAAGACAGAGCTTCCACAGCCTTCTGTACTAGAGAATGCCAAAGGTTCAAACTGTCTGAGTAAAATAATATTTCCTCTCTTGGACTGAAGAGGCACCATCCCCTTAATTTTTAAATTGAGCCAATGGTTCTAGACTTGCTAAACCAGGGAAATATTTTACCTGCAACTACCCTGTCTTCTCATTTCAATGAGATCCCCTCTCATTCTTCGACACGCTGGAGAATACAGGCTCAGTTTGCCCAACCCTTCTTCATGGCACTGTCCCACCATCCCAGGAACAAGTCTGGTCAATCTACAGGAACTCCCTCCGTGGCAAGGAGACCAAAATTGTCTCTCAGTTTCCCAGGTGTAGTCTAAGCAAGCCCCTATAAAACTGAAGCAAGACTTCACTATTCCTGTACTCAAATCCCTTGCAATAAAAACAAACATTCCATTCATCTTCCTCAAACTTCCTCCAAATGTATGTTAGCCTTCAGTGACTTTATTGGCAAGGACATCCTGGTCTCTTTGTGCATCTAGACTTTGTAAACTCTCATAATTTCAAACATTCACTGCACATTTGTTCCCTCTTACCCTGGATACTCTTTCCAATTACATTCCATCTGCCACGTTCTTGCCCAGTTGTTGTGTCTGTTCAGATCCTCCTGGAGCCACTTGACATCTTCCCCACACACACATTCCCACTTTACTTTGTTTGATCTGCAAATCTGGAAACATTACATTTGGTCCTGAACTGCAGATCTTTGTATGTATGATGAACAGATGAGGCCCAAGTACTGAGTCTAGCAGTCCCAGCCTGCCATTATGAGAATGGCCTGTTTAGTATGCACAGAAAGATCCCATTGTGTCCAGGACACAAACATGGGCAAAATCTGTGGATCCCTATGGACTGCCCAAATGTCAGGGTTCCTCTCTTGTCACCCGATTGAGTCCAAAAGAATGAAAAGCACCACATTTGACGTGGATAACACAGTGTGGAGCTGGAGGCACACAGCAGGCCAGGCAGTATCAGAGGAGCAGGAAAGCTGACGTTTCGGGTCATTGACATGGGCCTGTGAGGGGCTCTTCCACCAGGAGGAGGCCCAGCTGAGCTCGTCCCAATGTGTGCTGAGAGGGAGAGACGTACTCAGCTGACTTCTCTTTCTCATTTTACTGCTGTCAGTGATGCGGGCTGAAGATGAGAAGCACCTGATCACATGGAAGAGGGAAACACACAAACTATCTTCCACTCTCTCGACACATTAAGCCAGTACACAGCTAGTGCTACAGACACTGCAGCTTTGATCAGAACCTTAACAACACATGACAATTGAATTGGCATAGAGTCCTTCAGGAGAAGGGAGAGACCCATACAATACCCTACTAAGTGGACCACAGGGGAGTACACAAAATATCTTTTGAAAATGCCTTACATATAGGGCCTCTTCCTGGTGAAATATGGAAACAGAGCCCCCCACAGCCCCAGGTTAAAGCTTCAGAGGATCCCAGATGAGATTTGGACCTCAGACATGCTGGTTCTGTGGTATATGGACAGGAACTGAACTCAAACATATGGCCAGGTAACACACTGGGGGTCACAGTCTAGGAATAAGGGGTAAGCCATTCAGGACTGAGATGAGGATGAATTTCTTCACTGAG